GCTGGACTGTGGCAGATCTTCCAAACTATCTCTCGAGGAGGAAGGGGAAGTGTGTGGGCACTGATTAGATTCTGAGCTTGCCTCTTTCTCACAAAAAGGACCTTGGAGGCTGATGACTTAAGAGGTACTATTTATATGGGTTCCAAGAAACCCTAGCTCATTGGGCTCTAGGTTCCTTGGGCTCTTCTCATACTAATAACCCATTTGGGCTTTAGTAAAAGAGCAAACCCAACAAAATGGTCATTTAATTATTCGATTTAAAATTTAAAATTCGATTTTTAAAAGAAATTATTTTCCCACCATCCATATTTAAATTCAAAATTTTAAACCATTTCAAATTTCGAATTTTAGATCATAAAAAGCAATTAAAACAGCTGATTTCTTTTTGGATAGCAATCTGATGGGCAGTGCGCCATTCAATGCCTTGTCTGGCACCACAAATGGTCATTTAATTATTCGATTTAAAATTTCAAATTCGATTTTTAAAAGAAATTCTTTTCCCACCATCCATATTTAAATTCAAAATTTTAAACCATTTCAAATTTTGAATTTTAGATCAGATGACCAATTCCAACATAAAAAGCAATTAAAATAGCTGATTTCTTTTTGGATACCAATGTGATGGGCAGTGGGCCATTCAATGCCTTGTCTGCCACCACAAATGGTCATTTAATTATTCGTTTTAAAATTAAAATTCGATTTTTAAAAGAAATTCTTTTCCCACCATTCATATTTAAATTCAAAATTTTAAACCATTTCGAATTTTAGATAAGAAGGCCAATTCCAACATAAAAAGCAATTAAAACATCTGATATTTTTTTGGATACCAGTGTGATGGGCAGTGGGACATTCAATGCCTTGTCTGCCACCACAAATGGTCATTTAATTATTCGATTTAAAAATTAAAATTCGATTTTAAAAGAAATTCTTTTCCCACCATTTATATTTAAATTCAAAATTTTAAACCATTTCTAATTTCGAATTTTAGATCAGACGACCAATTCCAAAATAAAAAGCAATTAAAACAGCCTATTTCTTTTTGGATACCAATGTGATGGGCAGTGGGACATTCAATGCCTTGTCTGCCACCACAAATGGTCATTTAATTATTCGATTTAAAATTAAAATTTGATTTTTAAAAGAAATTCTTTTCCCACCATCCATATTTAAATTCAAAATTTTAAACCATTTCAAATTTCGAATTTTAGAGAAGATGACCAATTCCAACATAAAAAGCAATTAAAACAACTGATTTCTTTTTGGATACCAATGTGATGGGCAGTGGGACATTCAGTGCCTTGTCTGCCACCACAAATGGTCGTTTAATTATTCGATTTAAAGATTAAAATTCGATTTTTAAATGAAATTCTTTTCCCTCCATCCATATTTAAATTAAAATTTTAAACCATTTCAAATTTTGAATTATTGATCAGACGACCAATTCCAACATAAAAAGCAATTCAAAACAACTGATTTCTTTTTGGATACCAATGTGATGGGCAGTGGGACATTCAATGCCTTGTCTGCCGCCACAATTGGTCATTTAATTATTCGATTTAAGGATTAAAATTTGATTTTTAAAAGAAATTCTTTTCCCACCATCCATATTTAAATTCAAAATTTTAAACCATTTCAAATTTCGAATTTTAGATATGATGACCAATTCTAACATAAAAGGCAATTAAAACAGCTGATTTCATTTTGGATACCACTGTGATGGGCAGTGGGACATTCAATACCTTGTCTGCCACCACAAATGGTCATATAATTATTCGATTTAAAGATTAAAATTCGATTTTTAAAAGAAATTCTTTTCCCACCATCCATATTTAAATTCAAAATTTTAAACTATTTCAATTTGAATTTTAGATCAGACGACCAATTCCAACATAATAAGCATTTAAAACAGCTGATTTCTTTTTGGATACCAATGTGATGGGCAGTGGGAAATTCAATGCCTTGTCTGCCACCACAAATGGTCATTTAATTATTCGATTTAAAATTAAAATTTGATTTTAAAAGAAATTCTTTTCCCACCATCCATATTTAAATTCAAAATTTTAAACCATTTCAAATTTTGAATTTTAGATAAGATGACCAATTCCAACATAAAAAGTAATTAAAACAACTGATTTCTTTTTGGATACCAATGTGATGGGCAGTGGGACATTCAGTGCCTTGTCTGCCACCACAAATGGTCGTTTAATTATTCGATTTAAAGATTAAAATTTGATTTTTAAATGAAATTCTTTTCCCACCATCAATATTTAAATTCAAAATTTTAAACTATTTCAAATTTTGAATTTTAGATCAGACGACCAATTCCAACATAATAAGCATTTAAAACAGCTGATTTCTTTTTGGATACCAATGTGATAGGCAGTGGGAAATTCAATGCCTTGTCTGCCACCACAAATGGTCATTTAATTATTCGATTTAAAATTAAAATTTGATTTTAAAAGAAATTCTTTTCCCACCATCCATATTTAAATTCAAAATTTTAAACCATTTCAAATTTTGAATTTTAGATAAGATGACCAATTCCAACATAAAAAGTAATTAAAACAACTGATTTCTTTTTCGATACCAATGTGATGGGCAGTGGGACATTCAGTGCCTTGTCTGCCACCACAAATGGTCGTTTAATTATTCGATTTAAAGATTAAAATTTGATTTTTAAATGAAATTCTTTTCCCACCATCAATATTTAAATTAAAATTTTAAACCATTTCAAATTTTGAATTTTAGATCAGACGACCAATTCCAATAAATTACTATATCAATTTTCTTTCTCTTTTTCTTTTTTCTTTTTTATTTTCTCGATTTGTGTGTCGATTTCCAACAATTTAAAGATAAATTTATATTTTTACTAGCATTGGGATAACGAATTATCTGTTAAGAATTGCTATAAGATACGAAGCGACGAAAGGTAAAATATTTTTCTCATCTTATCAAGATAGCAGAAAGCATGTACGTTATTATTAACTCTCTACATACTCGAATTTATCCTAGTTTTTTTCCCTCCAAACAAAAATCCTCCTAATCTATATTTTTTCTTTACCAATTTATAGTTGTACAAAAAGATTAAAAACAATCAAAGTGAACTATTAAGTAGGGGTATCAATATAGGTTTTGACACGTGGGTCGACCCGCGACACGACACGAAAATTCGTATTCGGGTTGACCCGCAAAAAAATTCGTGTCGTGTTCGTGTTGAGAAAAATGACACGTAAAAAATTCGGGTCATGTTCGTGTTGATGTATTCGTGTTTATGTCGACCCGTATTTTTTTTAAATTATTTTATTTTTAATTTATTATTATTATTATTTTAATTTTTTTTAATATCGATCCATTTTTTTTAAAAAAAAATTGTCAATTACCATTTTGACCCCTATTTTGCGTGTTATTCGTGTCGTGTCAACCCGCAAAAAATTTGTGTCGTGTCAGTGTTGAAGATTTTGACACGAATAAAAATTCGTGTCGTGTTAGTGTTGATGTATTCGTGTCGTGTCAAATTCGTGTCGTGTCGACCCGTTTTGACACCTCTACTATTAAGTCTTATTAGAACTGGGATAATGAATTTTCTATTAAGAGGAATTACTGCAAAGTTATTAACATTTCGCGAATCTTCCAAAAACCTCCACTAAAGCAAAATAAGTAAATTCCAACAAGATGTGAAGGAAGAAAGATAAAATAAAATATTCAGAAAAAAATGGAATTTTCCCATTTTTATTAAGATAGCATAAAGTATATATGCAGTATCAACTGTTCACACTAAGATTTATCATAGAATGACAAAGATCCCTTAAGACAAAATCATCATAATCTATCTTTTCTCGTTGCCTATCTATAGATATACAAAAAGATTAAAAACCTTCCAAATGAACTCTTGGGCATTGTTAGCACTAGAATAATGAATTCTTTATTAAGGGAAAATATTGTAGAATTATAAATATTTTGTTAATCTTCCAAAGACCTCCACCAAAGGAAGATGAACCTTGTACAATATATGAAGGGAGATAGGCAAAAATACTTTCCTCATCTTATTAAGATGGCATAAAATATATGCAGACAGAAAGATTGCCCTCAAACAAAATCTTTTTTCTTTGCCTATCTATTAATGTAGAGAAAGATGCTAAATGAACAATTAGGCATTGTTAGCACATTCTATATTTGTGTGAATCTTCCAAGGACCTCCACTAAAGTTAAATGAATCTATTAAAAGTCATGAAGAGAGAAAGGTAAAATAAAATATTCAAAAAAAGTTGGTACTTTCTTCATTTTACCAAAATAGCATAAAATGGAAGCAATATCAACTATACATCACTTAAATTTGTCGGAGTAAAAGGGCAAAGACTATCTTCCCATCTATATTTTATTTTTGCCAATCGAACATAATTCTCAGAATCTATCTTTTTTTCCCCTATCAACAAACGTTTTAAAAACAAGCCAAATGAACTATTAGGCATTGTTAGCTCAGTAATGATTAATGAATCTGTTTTCAATTGACACGAAATACTGCCTAATAACAAACATTCTGTAAATCTTCCAAAAACCTCCTCCAAAGCATAATGAATCAGTTACAACAATAATTATAAACATTCTGTAAAACTTCCAAAAAAATCCACCAAAGTATAATGAATCTATTACAGCAAGATATGGAAGGTGAGATGTAAAATAAAATATTCAAGAAAAAATGAGAACTTCCATTTTATTAAGATAGCATAAAAGTTATCACAGAATAGAAGGGCAAAGATTTCCCTCCGAACAAAATCCCTAGAATCTCCCTTTTCTATTTCCCTATATCTATAGATGTACAGAGGGATTACAGACAAGCCAAATGAGTCTTCAATGAAAGATTTGGAGAAATGGCTTGTGAAGATTTCTTAACATGTGAAATAAGCCAATCACGTCCATTAATAGATCTCAACTCCCTCTCTAATCTATACGTAGAATCTATTGAAAATCCTCTTCTCTTCTTATCCTATCCTATCCTATCCTCAGTTTCCCTTCCTTCCTTCCTTGGCTTGCTGTTCTTTGTCCATTGAAGCAAACAAGGTTACCGCGATATCAGCCAGCTTTCTCCCGTTCAACCTTGACTTGTTGTATTTCCTCAATGGTGCATTTGGAGCTTCAAATAGAATAGGAAAAGCAAAAAATTTCTATTTTGGCGTAGTTTAGTCAAAATGCTGCTTCGCATCAGAGTCTACAATAGGAAAAAACCAAAAATTAATAATTAGATTAATCAATTGAAACAGTAGTTAACCAAACTGAACAATGCTCTTGCATTAATACGTACTGTTTCTCTAATCGTTTTGGAGACATGAAAAAGCTGCTTCAAATCTTCATGGTCCACGCCACACAACACATTTATCTGCCATTCAGAATACATACGCATTTCATAATCAGAAATGAAAACTCATTAACAATCACAACGTAAGCTTGAAATTCACAAAGTAAAAGAAAGACAAAAAAAAGCTTTAGATTTCCATAATTACCAGAATGTCTTGAGGAAGGGTTTTGAGGGAAGAGCTTTCAGAGTTCAGAGTGATTCTGCCACTGAACATTCTCTTCAACGGAGTCAATGGAGGAGAAGCTTCCCCATTGTTGGAAACCATGACTCTTTTCCTTCCCAGTGTCCCAGTGTAACCATTATCCCCATGCACTAATGCCATTTTGGTAAGTGAAAACTTACCCACTCAAGAATCTCAGAGAAATAAAGGAGTAAAAGAAAAAAAATTTCTTTTTGCTGCAGTCTGCGATACTCAAAATTCAAGGACTATTTATCAACGATTGTGAACCCATTAAGGGAAATAACAAGATTGTGGATAAGAATTTAAAAAAAAATTTATTTTCAAAAATAAAATAGAGTCCTAACAAAAAAATATGATCCTCAATTTAATTTCTTAGGATCATATTTTAATCTCTCATAAATAACAAAATTAATAGTCTGATCTCTAACATTTAAAATGGATCTTTTTTAATTTTTTTTGAGGGGTGGATTTTTTAAAATTTAAATTTAGGAGGGAACAATCTTAACTAAAAAAGTTTACTTTGAATTTCTTAAAAATCTTGGATTAATTTTTTTTAATAGGAAATTGAGGTAGGTTATGTTTACAATTTTTTTTTACAACCTCTTACAACCATATCTTAACGTTTGAAAGTGTTAAAAACCCAACCTTGGAGGGATATCTTCACGAAATGCAGTTTCTGCATTCTGTCGTGAAATATCCGGATATCTGCCCGAGAAATATCTGGATATGTGATATCCGGATATGGGAATCTGGATATCCGGATATTTTATATCCGGATATGTTCAGTGAGATATCCAGATATTACCTATCCGGATATGGTCCCGAGGAATATCCGGATATTCTGGGATTTCGAAGAACAGTAGCTGTGTTGTGTGTACAGTAGGCTATTGGGGGTTTGTGGACCCTAGTTTGATGAAGTTGAACTTCTGTAATTAATGAACTAAGTCAGAATCAAATGATTAAGGGCTTATGGCTTGGTATGGAGCCTTAAGACGTAAAACGTAAAGGAAAGGCGTTGTCTTTAAGTTATATGCTTGTGGTGCATTATTATTGATATAGTATTGGTCCATAACAGATTGTGAATCTGCTGTGTTTGCACTTTGAGCTGTGGACTCTTGACTTTGGGTGTTAGCTTGCAAGGTAAGCCTTCGTGTCCTCGGTTTAGCCATGTTGTGGTTCCACCATGTCCCATGGGGGTGTGGTTATATGCATGCTGTGTTACATGCTTTGAATATTCGAAATGTTGTTGAGCTTTATGTGTAATGGCTTTTAATATGCATGTGTTGTTTCATCTTGACAGTAAGCCTGAGTATGTGGCGTCATACGATATGGTGATCCGGGGTGAATGCAAGTGGCGTCTTGCACTATGTGTGGGTATTTGGCGTATATAAATCCTGCATTTCTCTGGCAAGTAGAATAGAATTGACACACATGACATGATTATCTGCTGCATTGCACTGTGTTAGAAATGATTTTGATGAACTGCTTTTAAACTTATATTGCACATGTATGTGAGCTTGGGGTGGAAGATCGTTGAGAACCCCTGGTCTTACTGAGATTTCTTGTTTAGAGATTTCACCCCACGTTTAGGGAATGCTTATTTCAGGTTCAGGTAGTATGGTGACTGATGCCTCTGGCGGCAGGAGGCCAGAGCTTAGCTGATTATGATATTATGTTGTATTGCTGCCATGACTGGATTTGGATGCTGTTTGTGTTTCCCGCTATTTATGATTATGTTGTTGTTGAGACTGATGTTGGGCTTGTTGCCTTATTTGAGTGAGCATGGGGATTGTCCATGACACTTTATGTTAGTACCTTTAGATTGGAGTTGTATAACTTGCTAGTTTTTCTGGCCTACTTGCGGTAGTTCCGTGATTTCTAGAGACACACTTTTGTTATCTATGTTGAGGTATTTCAGTTAGCTGTTTTATTGCAATTACATACAGGCGATGTTTTATTAATTGATTAGTAAGCAAGTTGGTAATGATAATGACATCATAATTGAAAAGAAAAAGATATTCCGCATTTTTAATTAAGCGCTGCTTAATACGATAGTATGATAACATTACGGGATATATACGGGGTGTTACATTTATGGTATCAGAGCAATGGTTCGAGGAAAAGCCTGTATGTATTGCAATAGCTAGGATGTTTGGTTGTGTCTGTCCTGTGTGTTTACTCCGTCGAATTTTATTATG